GGCCGCTCAGATCCTCCGCTCTGCTCCTTCTCAGTTTTCATGCTCTTCCCAAGTGGCATCGCATGCAGAATAATTTCAACGCAAGCCCCAATCACACAGGGACCCACCTGTATCAGTCGGGGAGGGCAGCGCCAGCTGATTTCTCATCACAAAGTGGTCGGTGGGGTCAATGATGTCGTAAATACTGTCTCCTTGGGCTACCAGGTCCACCTGGGGGGTGAGGTAATGGAGAGATGTTAGCGCACACTGCCATGCAACACAAGGAACAGGCTGCTCGGAGCTGAAGCCCAAGGGTTGGCAACACACATCATTGTGCCAGGATTTCTATGTGGTCATATAACACAGATCGGCATTTGTCAGGAAACTGTGTATTTATGCTCCACGGCTCCACAATCTATCAGTGTCTGTGTTAGAAACACTGCTTAACAACAAGCACAGGGGAAATACACAGTGAGATCCTCACTGGTTAACTCTAGAAATAGTCATCCCTGTACCTATCCATCCCCATATCTATCTATCTATCTATCTATCTATCTATCTATCTATCTATCTATCTATCTATCTATCTATCTATCTATCTATCTCCACATGCATCCCTCTACCTATCCATCCCCATATCTATCCATCGATCGATCGATCTCCACATGCATCCCCCTACCTATCCATCCCCATATCTATCTATCTCCACATGCATCCCTCTACCTATCCATCCCCATATCTATCTATCGATCGATCTATCTCCACATGCATCCCCCTACCTATCCATCCATCCCCATACACATCCCCTCTCTCCCCCAACTCTGTAGTATGTACAGGAGCGGAAGAGTCGGTGTGTGGATAACCCAGCCACCGGCTCGCCGACTGAGCCCTTACCATCGAATGTCCCAGGTGCTCTGCTACGTTCTCCGAGACGTAGATCAGCTTCCCTTCGCCGGTGAACGCCAGGAGGAAGCCTGGGAGCGTCTGCACGAACTCTTCCAGGTCCTGGGATGACAGCAGGCTCTCCAGCCCTCCCAGGGCACCTGTTGTGGAAGAGGAGAGGGAGTCAGGATACAAAGCCCTTTCCATGCATTGCAGCCCGGCCGTACCATGGACAGCGACCCGCGGCAGCCACTGACTCAGGAGCCTGCAGCTTCAGAGCCATGGACAGCGACCCTACCGCTACCTGGGCAGCACCATGGACAGCGACCTGGACTCAGTGCCCCAAGGCCATGTAGCTTCAGCACCACGGACAGTGCCGCGAGCCTTTTACCCCTACCCCAGCCCCCTTGGCTGGAGGCGCCCCATAGCCAGACACCCACCGGGCACTGGTATCTAACAGGTGTCTGTCTGGGCACATTGGCTCCTCACTTCTCCCTGCCCAGTGCCAGCCAGGAAACGCGTCTCTCTCGCTCACACACACTCTCGGTGCTGGTTACCTTTGGCGAAGAAGATGGACTTGCGGGTGTAGATACACGCCAGCGACATGATGTGCAGGTAGGAGAGCCGGACTTTGTCCCCTTCCGGGATGGGCAGCAGGTCCTTGAGATTGCGGATCTCGGCGTTGATCTGGTCCCGCCGCGCCTTGGAGGCGCCCTTGGTGGAGCGGTACATCTGGGCTTCTCCACGCTCGGCGCTTGGCGGCGGTCGGTCGGTCCGTCTGGCTGGCTGTGTGGCTCCCAGATTCCTGCCGGCAGATCTGGTTGAGAGCCTCAGCCTGCATCCCGGCTTTTATAGGCTGCTGGGAGTGTGGGCACTGGCATGGCAAGGAAAGTGGGGCGGGAAGATTTGCTCAGATCAATGGAGGGACATGGCTGGGGAGCTGCTCCCCCTCCCCTCTCCCCCCTCCTTCTATGTGCTGGGGGAACCACACGTCACCCTCTCCTCAGTGACGTGCTCAAGTGAGGGAGGGGGAGTGGAGGAGGCAGGCACAGAAACACACTGCACCGAATTAGGAGAAAAGCAGCTAGAGGAGAGACTTGACTGTTGGAATCACATCTAGCTCCAGGCTGAGTCTGCCCCTGCTCCTTCCCAGAGTCAAACATTAACTCTTACACTGACTTCTTGGTGAAGTATTCTGTAGGGGAATCTAATTTAATCCTATCAATCCATCCATCTCCCTTCCATCTATCTACCCCTCTCTCTATCCATCCATCTATCCCCCTTCCATCTATCTACACCTCTCTCCATCCATCCATCTATCTACTCCTCTCTCTATCCATCCATCCATCCATCCATCCATCCATCCATCCATCCATCCATCCATCCATCTACCCTTCTCTCCATCCATCCATCCCCCTTCCATCTATCTACCCCTCTCTCCATCCATCCATCCATCCCCCTTCCATCTATCTACCCCTCTCTCCATCCATCCATCCATCTACCCCTCTCTCCATCCATCCATCCATCCATCCATCCATCCACCCCCCTTCCATCTATCTACCCCTCTCTCCATCCATCCATCCATCCATCCATCCATCCCCCTTCCATCCATCCATCCATCCATCCATCCATCCATCCATCCCTCTTCCATCTATCTACCCCCTATAAATCCACCCCTTCCATTTATCTACACCTCTATCCATCCATCCATCCATCCATCCATCCATCCATCCATCCATCTACCCCTCTATATATCCATTCCCCTTCCATCTGTCTACATAAGAATGGCCATACTTGGTCAGACCAACAGTAGCCAATGCCAGGTGCCCCAGAGGAAATTAACAGACAGGGAATCATCAAGGCATCCACCCCCTGCTGCCCATTCCCAGCTTCTGGCAACAGAGGCTAGGGACACCATCCCTGCCCATCCTGGCTAATAGCCATTGATGGACCTATCCTCCATGAACTTATCTAGTTCTTTTTTTAACCCTGTTATAGTCTTGGCCTTCACAGCATCCTCTGGCAAAGAGTTCCACAGGTTGACTGTGTGTTGTGTGAAAAAATACTTCATTTTGTTTATTTTAAACCTGCTGCCTATTCATTTAATTTGGTGACCCCGAGTTTGTGTGTTATGAGAAGGAGTAAATAGCACTTCCTTATTTACTTTCTCCACACCAGTCATGATTTTATAGACCTCTATCATAACCCCTCTTAGTTGTCTCTTTTCCAAGCTGACAAGTCCCGGGCTTATTAAGCTCTCCTCATATGGAAGCCGTTCCAGACCCCTAATCATTTTTGTTGCCCCTTTCTGAAACTTTTCCAATTCTAGTATATCTTTTTTGAGATGGGGCGATCACATCTGCACACAGTATTCAAGATGTGGGTGCACCATGGATTTATATACAGGCAATATGACATTTTCTGTCTTATTATCTATCCCTTTCTTAATGATTCCCAACTTTCTGTTCACTTTTTTGACTGCTGCTGCACATAAAGTGGATGTTTTCAGAGAACTATCCACAATGACTCCAAGATCTCTCTTGAGTGGTAACAGCTAATGTAGACCCCATCATTTTATATGTATAGTTGGGATTATATTTTCCAATGTGCACTACTTCGCATTTATCAACATTGAATTTCATCTGCCATTTTGTTGCCCGGTCATCCAGTTTTGTGAGATTCTTTTGTAGCTCTTTGCAGTCTGCCTGGGACTTAAGTAGTAGTAGTAATTTAAAATATTCAAACATTGTCTCGAGGAATATGTTTGATACATTCTTTAAAAGTATCTTTTTGGTCTGTAAACAACTAACTCCTTTTGATGGCTGCAGTTGTTTCCTTTTTCTTTGCCTTTCCATACAGAGGCCTTGTATTAAGCCCCCCATGCCGTCCAGGTAGCATGTCTCTCCAGACGTTAAGAGCATTTCCACAGAGCGATGCTGGGCGAGTTTGGGGGGTTACTTTTGCTAATCTTAGTGCCATTAAAATAATGTTTTTCCAAATGGGATAAAAATAAAGTCAACTTCTGAAAAGCCCAAAGAAGTCCCACACCAGTATGAGTGTGTGTCTCGTATTGTTAGGAGAGCAATTGTGTCAAATGCAGAGAGACAGAGCTGAAGCGCCACGCTCAATGGAGTAACCTAAATTGGGTAGCTAGGTTTTGCATAATCTCGTCTTCCATATTAGGAAAGAAAGTACCGAGCTGAGTAACCCTTCACTGCCCAGAAAGCCTTTGCACCTGTTTTGGAAATCTCTCACAGCTATTAGCACACTTGTTTGATTTCTAATGCTGCAGGGAACTGGGGCACCCCCAGCACCCACACGAGAGCTGCTGTATATGGGTGGTTTTACACTGCTTTCCTTATTTAGGCAGTTTAAGGAATGATACAACTTTCCAAAGTCACCTTTTAAGGGCTAGGCCCTGTCTCTAGTTTCTCAATGGTCTGTTCACTGCCATTGTGCAACGTACAACAGCGATTCTCAGTGAATTCCCTGTGCAGGGCCGGGGCCCTCTGGGGATTTGAGCCTATTGCAGAATTTCTCCACTCTTCTGTTTTGTAAGTTGGTAGTTTAGTTAAACCTGGCATTTCCAGAGCTGCCATCAGGACCCAGGAGTCCTGGGGCTCCCAGCCCACCCTGCTCTAATCCACTAGAGCAAGGGAAGGGGTGTCTATTGGGATAGAGCAGGGGAAGCTGGGAGCCAGGATTCCTGGGTTCTATCCCTGGATTTGGGAGGGGAGTGGGGTCTAATGGGTTAGAGCGGGGGGCTGGCAGCCAGGATGCCCGGGTTCTATCCCTGGTTCTGCAAGCCGGGGTGCTGGAACAATTTGTATAGTGGGGGTGCTGAACACATTGAACCAAACTGTAAACCCTGGATATAATGGAAACCACTTCAAGCCAAGGGGTGAGGCAGCTCCCCTAGTTCCAGCATCTATGTCTGTGAGCAGTGTGGGATCTAGTGGTCGGGGGGCTGGGAGTCAGCTTCCTTGGGTGTATTATAGGACGCCATTGATCTGAGTTGTGGGAAGACAGCCACCAGCTTTCTATCCTTTAGGAATGCGATGCTATAAATAGACACAATGGGAGCTTTTTTCTGTTTTTGGCTTGCAGCACCGACGTCAGCCTGTTATCTAGGGCTGTGCCCTCGCAGCGTAACCCAGCTCAGCTCAGAGCTGAGTGGGCGCATCATGAATTAGAAAAGAGTCTTTGGATTGTGGGGGTGGACCCGAAGCCTTAACTCTTATAAAAGGAAAGAGCTGAGCACCGGGAGAGGCAGCCCGCGCCCCGCCAATGCCGCATGGCTGCTTCCATCCTAGGCTGAGAAAATCTATTTCTGGGAGTCTCTGACTTTAGGAGAAGGCACAACAAGGATGTGTGGCAAGTAAACAGCTCTTTTCACCCAGTGCCTTGGTAAATGGAATGACCCATGGATAGAACCCAGGAGTCCTGACCCCCCCAGCTCCCTGCTCTATATACCAGACATCACCCCTACAGTTACTGCACTGGAATTGAAGCACAGGGCACTAGAGGTTAACCTCTTCTCTTCTTACTATGCAGGATGCAGACAAGGGGAGGAGTCGCATGTGCCAGCCGGTCCCAGCCCAGTCCCTCCAGAGGGTGAGTGGCTCAGAAGCACTGTCTGGGAGCTCTGGATGATGATGTGCTGTGGGGCAGCCCCAGGGCACTCACCCCAGGGCCAGCTGTGGTGCTGATATGGCCCCATGTCTCTGGGTCAAGCTGCAGGACCAGATCTTGAGCTGGGGGAGTGATATGGTTCCCTTGGGGTCATCACTTTGCACCAGCAGGGTTGGGCCTATTGGATGGGGGCTGGCCCAAGGGGACCTTAAAGCCCTGCTGACACCAGAGCAGCATTCGGCATCCCGGGAAAGGTCTCCAACCAGGGGCAGTACCAAAGCAAGACCCCACGACCACCTGCCCAGAATTTGGGCTCTGTGGCCTGTTCAGCCTCTCTACTCATCTTCCACAGCCCACCTCCCCTCAGCCAGCCACTCCACCCTGCCTGGGAACTGGATCAGAGCTGGTGCCCCTAGAGGGGAAAGGCCCTATGTCTCATTCCCGGAACCTTATGCCCAGCCAGTCCCCCCAGTCTGCAGCCAGCGCTGCCTAGAGGGGAAGGCCACATACCTCGTTCCCTCTCTTTTCTTTTTGCTATGGAAAGGGCAGGCTCCACTCACCGTCGTCCATGGAGTCCCAGGGCCAGGATTCCTTTCCAGGAGCCATTTTACCCCGAGAGGAAGAGCCCCACCCCCACCAGGGCCCCTTTTAACCCTGTGCCCTCTAAGTCCAAACACAGGATCCCACCTAACCCTGCTGGGAGCCCCCCACCCACATGAGCTGCTGTGTTTGCAGGCTCTCTCCCCCGACCCCCAGCCCTTCCCTGCCTGCTGCCTCCCACTGGACGGGGTGCAGTGCTATTGCTTTTACCTGGAAAGGGCTCCCTGCTCCCAATGAGCTGAAAACCACAGCCTATCTTCTCTCTGTACCCATGTCTAGTAGCTCAGCCCCAGTGTGTGTGAGGGGTGGGGGTTGGCACGGCCCTGTGGGCAGGTCGGGGGGGGGGTTGGCTAGCTCTGCTCCTCAGCTGTGGCTGGAATCTGGGAGCCAAATGACTCAGAGTGCATCACTGCTGAGTCACCCCCTGGTGGAGAGAGGGGACCAGGGGTGGGGTTGCTGATCCCAAGCCCATCTGTTCTGGGAGCCTGCTGGGCCCTTTCACCCTCCCCCCCCACCTGGTGTTTCATTCAGGATCTGAATCAAGCAACTAAAAAGAGAAACCTGGAGGCTAAAAATAGCTCTGGAGTCTGTGTGATTTAGTGAGTGGCTCAGCGACTCAGCCAGTCCCTGCCAGAGCCAGGCTGGGGGAGGGGATAGGCAGTGCCAGCCAGCTGGCGACAGGACATGGGGACATTGCCTTCTATCCCAGTCAGACACCGGAGCTCACGCCGAGGGGAGCTCAACATGGTCAGGCATGGACCTCGTGCACTGACATGGAGTGACAAACAGTGACATACACCAACACGCCCCACTCGGAACTGATGCACCAACATGTAGTAACACACACTGACACACAAGCTGTCATGCACGGACATAGAACACATGCTGAGAGTCACTGGCATGTGAGTCATCGCACAGACACATACCCATATGCTGGCCATTACATGCCACCACACAGGCACGGGCAGGATGCTATCCCCACACCCACACACACTTGTAGCACCCTAGAAATGACAGGCCCTGTATTACATCCATCCCCCCCCCCGACACACACACACACCCCGAGCCAGCCAGATCCCTCTGCCTGGGGACTGGATGAGAGCTGGTGCCCCCTAGTGGGGAAAGGCCCCATATCCCATTGCCTTCCCCCTGAGCCAGCCAGTCCCAGGCCGTATCTGGGCTGGCACCTAGAGGGGAAAGGGCCCAGGCCTAGGCCTTGGCTAGCTCTACCTGGGAGCTGCCGTCATTTCCGGATTCCTTTTATCAGGTGCTGGTGAGTGTCCTGATGATGCTCCAGCACTGAGGACAATTTTCCAGGTAACTGTTTCTAAATGCAGCTTGCAAGTGTCCCATCCACGTCAGAACCCAGGCAGAGGACAGATTGGTGGGAGCGCATGTTAGTTGAGCAAGGGCATGGACACAATGGCAGTGAGTGGAGGCTATGAAGGGAGCATGTGGAAGGGGACAGTGGCAGGGTCAGGGAATGTATGGAAAGGAGCCATTGTGTTAACCTGCTTAAATAAAATTGCCCCCTGCCACTTTCCACCTGTTGCTTTTGAAAACACAAAATGAGCAATTTCTACTCCCCTGTCCAGCCTGCCAATCCCCCACCTTACTCAGAACCCCTGCATGATACGGGGGGCTGGCTAGCTCAGAGGGATAGAGACTGGGGTATAGGGTTGCTCCCTTCTAGGGGGCACCGGCTCCAATCGGGCCCCAGGGAGGGGACTGGCTGGCTCACGGGGGCAGGGAATGGGACATGGGGCCTTTCACCTTTAGTGGACCTTGGCACCAGTCTGGCTTCAAGGCAAGGGGACTGGCTGGCTCGGGGGGTTAGGAATGAGCTCTGGGGCCTGTCCTTCCTAGAGCACCCTGACTGTGTGTTTTCTATTAGTGTTTTCAGTGGGTTCTGCTTCCAGTTCTGGCGCAGGGGGCTAGTGGTTTAGACTGGGGGTCCTGGAAGCCAGCACTCCTGGGTTCTATCCCCCCCCTGCAGAGTGGGGATCACACACCCCTGCCTTAGTCTGGCTGTGTTGCTCTGTGGCTCCCAGAAGGGCTGAAGGACTGTGCCGCCCCACCCCCCCAATTGCCATCGGCGTCTTTACCCCACCAAAAAAGGCTCTTTGCTCCTATTTTTAGCCCCACTCCCAGGTTTTATATAGCTCTGAACATTCATGTCTCCCTGCGTCCCCCGCTGGCGCGGGAGGGGAGAGCGAGAAAAATATCTACCAAGGTCCCTTCTTCATCGAAAATATCTCAGCAGTTGCCATGGAGACCCGCCCACAGCTTCACCTCCCAGCACAAGAGGCTTCGCAATACAGAGGGGCTGGAGGCTTTTTATAGACCCAATGTGCGAAAGGAGATGGGGGCCGGGGGGGCCAGAGCCAGTGGGATTGGCTAGCAGCCCCCCCCACCCCAGCGTGGGAAGTTCAGACCCAGCCACCCCCATCTATCCATCAATACAAATGCAGAATGGGGTTTCAGGATTTGAATGGGCTGGTTCTTCATTCCCACCAAGCCCAATCTGGCCCCCAACCCCCTGCTCTAACCCACCAGCCCCACTCTCTTCCGTCTTGGAACAGAACCCAGGCATCCTGGCTCCCAGCCCCCACTAGACCCCACTTCCCTCCCAGAACTGGGAACACAATATAGACTTTACACCTTCCCAGGAATGATGCACCGTTAGAGACTGCTTGAGAGAGGAGGGCAATACTGGACAAGGCGGTCTCACGTGGTTGACCCAGGAGACTGGGGAAGAGGAAGTGAATAGTGCCTCCAATGTCATATTGTTCTAGGGCTGCCCTCCTGCAGGCAGCCTTCCCTGTCAAACTCCTTCGCCACTGCTGTGAACTATTAAACATCTGCCACCCCAGAGGTGGCAGCATCTCCGTGCTGGGCAAGGGATTCCCATATAAACAGCCCACACCCCACCCCAGCGAGGGTTATATCTTAGGACTGGTTGAGGCATCCCTGTAGAAACAGCCGCCATACCCCACCCCAGAGGGGGCTGCATCTTAGCACTGGGTGAAGCGTACCTGTAGAAACAGCCCGTGTCCCACCCCAGAGGGCACTGCATCTGAGCACCGGAGTGAGGAGTCTCTGTATAAACAGCTGTCACACTCCAGAGGCAGCTGCATGTCAGTGCTGGAGGAATTGACTCATTCATATGCTGGTCAGGTGCTTTGAGACCCAAATTGGGAGGAATTCTGATTAAAAAGCCAGCAGTTCATGGAGCTATTTTTGAAAACACAAGGAGTAAATAAAAGGCAAAATAGCAGAGGCTGAAATGAATCTATTTTAAAACCCTCACGCCCAATTTCCTGCGAGTCCTGGGGCGAGGACATCGTGCTGGACCCAACCTGCGCTTTTATAGACATAATCAAGCCAGAATGCAACCTACAGACAGCTAAATGTGTCTGACAAACACTCCGATACAGCAATGAGGAGAGCCACGCAGCTCCAAGCTATTATAGAACAGTACCTGCCAATCCCAGAGCACTATGCTTATACATGGACTTGAAGACCCCTCATTCAGCACTGAGATGCAGCCACCTCTGGGGTGGAGTCCAGAGGCTGTTTATACAGGGATCCCTCACTCGGAGCTGAGATGTGACCACTGCTGAGGTGGGATGCAGGGCTGTTCACACAGGGATCCTTGCAGTTGCTTCTGGAGTGTGACAAAGCATATGGCCGACTGATGCATAGAAATGCTCTACCATGGTTCATAAAAAGAAGGAGCATTGCAGGGTATTGTGGCCAGCCCTGACTGTGAGCTCCCCATCCCACTCCTTGCACACAGCACCCCCTAGGGCAGGACTGGGGCACTAGGGTCAGCCCTGACTGCAAGAGGAGAGCACCAGCAATGAGTTACGTCAGAGCTCAGCATCCCCACGGCTGCTCCTTGCTTTAGATCCAGGGTGACCAAGAGAGAAGCAGAACTACGCTATAGCAACAGAGAGGGGGAGGGAGGTATTTTTGGGAGGGATGGACGGAGGAGTGTGAGCTGGAGGGTTGGCTCATCCCCCCGCCCCCTGCTCTCAGTCCCTTTCCAGCCTGCGGCCATGGCTCAGGGATGCGGGGGGGCGGGGGGGGGGGGGGGGGGGGGAGAATCCGCTTTTTGCTGCCAAAATAGGAAAAAAGGCAGAGATGCAGCTGTGACGTCACTGCTCCCCACCTGCATCACATCACCATGGCAACAGCGTACAGGGGGATTGTTCACTGCAACAACAGAGCAAGGTGTGACAGTGGCCCCCCTCCCCCTCTCCTGCCCCCCCAGACTCCTCCCCCTCCACCCCCAGACCTCTACAACCCCACCCCCACAGACCCCTCCATCCTACTCCCATTGACCCCTCACCCAGAGACCCACTCCCTCACACAAACCCCTCCCTCCACACCACTGCTCCCCACATACCTCTACACCACACCCCACAGACCCTCTCCTGCCACCCCACTGCCCCCCAGACCTCTACACCCCACCCCACCAACCCCTCCCAACACCCCACTGCCCCCCAGACCTCTCCAACCCACCTCCAGACCGCCCTACCTCACACAACCCCCCCAACACCCCACTGCCCCCAGACCTCTACACCCCACCTCAACAGACCCCTCCCTCACACAAACCCCTCCCTCCACGCCACTGTCCCCACAGACCTCTACACCCCACCCACCAGACCCCCTCTCTCCACCCCACTGCCCCCCACAGACCTCTACACCCCACCCGCCAGACCTCCTCCCTCACACAAACCCCTCCCAACACCCCACTGCCCTCCAGACCTCTACAGCACACCCCCACAGGTTTCCATTCTGGGATGCAGTTGGGGCCAGTTCCTCAGAGCAGGTGCTGGGGGTGAGATTTGGCTTGGCAGCACAGAGGGTAGGGGTAGATGGGGGGCAGAGACCATGCCCCAGCCATGCCAGGACCTAAGCACCAGGGTCATGCCCAGCAAAATGGGAAGGGGGGGAGGCATGAGTAACAGCTCTAGATCTGTCCTTGTAGGTCTGGGTGTGTACGGGCATTCATGTGCAGGGCAGTGCCCACTTCAACTTGGGGAGATGCAAGTGGATGGGAGGTCCATGTGTGTGGGGGGTGGGGGGGGTGAATCTGTGTATTTGGGGGGAGGTGTGTGTGCTTGGGGGTGATCTATGTCTCGGTGGGTTGTGTGCATGGGAGTGATGTGTGTGCATGGCAGAGATGCATGTTTCTGGGGGGACTGCGTGTGAATGGGGCATTGCATGTCTCATGGGGCTGCGTGTTCATGGGGGCAATGCGTGTCTTCGGGGGGTTCCGTGGGCATGGGGGGGTCCAGGTTTCTGAGTGGGGTGGAGGCGAGGTGTGTGTAAATGGGCACAGCCCCCCATGTGGGACTGACCTCCCACCCCACCATTCTGCGGCAGCCTCCCCTCCATCCCTCGCCCACGCAGCCCTAGCAACAGAAACCCGTCTCCTAGAGACTCTCTTACGTTGCTACGGCAGCAGCAGCACCAACAAGCGAGGAACCATCAGTCCCTGGGAGTGGGGTGCTTTGGTGGGGAACGAGCAGGGAGCAGTCACCCCCCAGGGAAAATTTCTCCCCATATCTCTCAGTCCCTCCCCATCCCCCAACTAAATATTTCCCCTCACTCCCTGACCCCCAACTCCTCCCTCTGTCCTGCCGATCCAGCCCCAGGACAGGGGGATTGGGACACGGGCCCTTTCCCCTCGGAGGCGGGGGGGAGAGCTTGCTCTGATCCAGCCATGCTGACCCACATGGAACAAGTTTGCCAGGTCTCAGCCCCATTCCCAGCCAGGTGTCACACAAACTCCATCCCCTTGGGCACTAACTCGGCCCAGGCAGAGGGGCCAGGGCTAGCAGAGCTGAGCTCCTCAGGGAGGGGACGGGGGGTGCGTGGGGTGGGGAGGCTCCTTGGCATCAGCCCCAAGGCTACCCCAGAGGACCCCATTCCTGGGGTGTCGAGCTGCCCCTCCCCAGCACTGAGGGGCCAGAGCCGTCCAGACCCAGGATCAGACCAGGCGGGGAGTGTTGGCTGCAGAGGAATGGAGAGATGGGGCCTCGCTCTGCCAAGGGCTGGGCTGGGAGCTGAGGTGGCTGGCTGGGCCAGGGGTGCCACCCACAGCCAGAAAATGAATGGGAAGGGATGAGACTGGCCAGAAAACCCCAGCCACACCCCCACATACAAACTGCACCCCCCTGCACTCTATCCACACCCCCCACAGAACGCCATCCAGGCCCTCCACACTGCTCCACCTCACACCTGCAGCCCCCCACTGCACCCAATCCACATCCCACGCCACTCATTGCACCCCATCCACACGCACCCCAGAACCTGCCACATTGCTCCACCTCACACCTGCTGCCCCCCACTGCACCCCAACCACACACACCCCAGAACCCGCCACACTGCTCCACCTCACACCTGCACCCCCCCACACTGCACCTCATCCACATCCCACGCTACCCATTGCACCCTCCACTGCACCCCATCCACACACACCCCAGAACCTCACCTCACACCTGCACCCCATCCACATCCCACGCCACCCATTGCACCTCATCCATACACACCCAGAACCCCATCCAGATCTTCCACACTGCTCCACCTCACATCTGCACCCCCCCACTGCACACCATCCACACACACGCCAGAACCTGCCACACTGCTCCACCTCACACCTGCATGCCCCCACTGCACCCCATCCACATCCCACGCCACCCATTGCACCCCATCCACACACATCCCAGAACCCGCCACACTGCTCCACCTCACACTGGCACCCCATCCTCATCCCACGCCACCCATTTCACCCTCCACTGCAGCCCATCCATACACCCCAGAACCCCATCCAGACCCCCCACATTGCTCCACCACACCTGCACCCCTCACTGCACACCTATCCACACCTTCTGCACACCTATCCACACCTTGCGCCCCACTGCACAGCCACATACCCCCATACCACATCCCTCATACACACACTGCACCCCATCCCCATACTCACCACACTGCACACCCCAACCTGCAGCCCTATCCACATACCCCCACTCCACACCTGTTCCCTCCACTGCACCCCATCCACAAACCCGCCCCCCAGTCACACACCCCTTTTCTTGCTGTTTAGCTCAAGGCAGCATAACCCTGTGGCTGGCTCAAACAAAGGGCAATGGCTGCTCCTTTGGCTGGGCAGGTGGGGGCTGTTGGCCAGCATGGGATGTGGGCTGGGACGGCCCTGGCAGAGCCCCAAACAGGGCCCCCATGCTGCAGTAAGTTAGCCACCATCTCCCCAAGCCCTGCTCCATGCCAGCAGCAATGCAAATCGTGGATAAACTCTGCCACCTGCTGGGGACAACAGGAAACAGCAACTTTTCTCTCATTCCCCCCAGCCCCCTGCCCCTCAATCCCAATCTGTCACCCTTGGCAGTCCCGGTCCTGGGCTCCCCTACCCCCACTCCTATTGATACCACTTAATGCTGATAACTCACAGTCAATCAAGAGTGCGTGGAGGTGCCCGCGGCAGGCTGTTTGCCCCAGCAACCACGTTGTGTCCCAGCTCCAGGTAATTCTAGTCTGTCTGTTCACCTGCTTATTAGTTTCAAATAGAGATTTGATTTCCCTTCATGTCTCACCTTAAAATCTTGTGAAATGATGCTATAGATACTACCCAGCTGATGTGCCCTAGCCCAGAGGCAGCTGCATCTCTGCACCAGGTGAGGGATCCTGGTATAAACAGCCCCCCTGCCCCACCCCAGAGGTAGCCGCATCTCAGCTCCAGGCAAGGGATCCTGGTATACACAGTGCCCTTGCCCCACCCCAGAGGGGGCCAGGTCTCAGGATCCCTGTATAAACAGAGCCATACCCCACCCCTGAGTCCCTTTCCTGAGTTAATACAGTAAACCAAGACCCTGGGGAGGGACAAGGTACTTATGTTTCCCGTCCAAAATACATTCTGTTGAATTTATGATCCTTGATGATTGTTTGTTCTTGTTTTGTTCATTCCCCCAGCTGGGTTTGGTGTCTCTGAAATACATCCAATATATTGTAACACAATGGCTTCTCTACCACTTTCCAATCAACCTGAGTTTTGACAGAATCGCAGCTGGGCCGGTCCCCCGGATGTCTCAGCACACAGCACCGTCCCCTTCTCTAGAATTGCAACTGGCATTAATAATAAAGCAGCTAGTTTCCAGCCCTTGGGGTTACAAATATAATCTCCAAAGAGCTGTCCCATGTGTAACCCATGCAGCACTAACTGTCTGAACTAGAAATGAGGGAATAGCCCCGTGTCCTGTTCCCTGCCCCCCATCCTCTCCCCGAGCCAGCCAGTCTGACCGCTCTAGGGCTGGATCCAAGCTGTCTCCCCCCAGAGGGGAAAGGCCCCATATCCCAAGTCCCTACCCCTGCACACACACAGACACAGGCTGCTCCTAGTTTGGGGGTCACAGTGGGGTTTTATTGGGTTGGGATTTTAATTGCATCAAAGCAATTCAGCACATTTTAAAGAAGGATTGGATATGAGGGGTGGGCCTGTGGCAGGGGGTGGGGCTAATTCCCGTTCTCCATAGAGGCAAGTCCATAGGACAAAGATGGCCAGGATAGGGGAACAGGGGTGGGGGAATGGATGGACAGACTGACATGCTGCTCCAGAGGGGATGCCCCCAGCTCCCCACGCCCAGAGTGGGGCCAGGAACGTGGGATCTGGACTTGCTGGTCCTGCAGTCCCCTAGGGAAGCGGGTGTCCTGGAGATCATTTCTTCTTGGTGGCTGCCGCCAATGCCGCTGCCTGGGCTTCTGCTGCCGCCACCGCCAAGGCCTCCTCGCGCTGCTGCCGGAACACGGCATATTCCTCTGCACTGAGGCTGGTGGGGGGAGAAGAAAGGGGTCAGACCTGCCTGACATGGAAGACCTGGCTCCCAGCCCCATCTAGCACACTAGACCACACCCAGCCCCACCTGCTCTAACCACTAGATTCCACTCCCTGCCCAGACCTGGGGATAGAACCCAGGAGTCCTGGCTCCCAGAGTCAGGCATAGAACCCAGCAATCCTGACTGCCAACTCCCCCCGCCCCTGC